CTCCACATACTGTTCTGTTCCTATCAAGGTTTCTTTCATAAGATAGATATCTCCTGTTCCCTGTGAGAAAGAAGAACAATGGAGTCTAACTCTCTACCCCAGATGGATATCAAACTTTATAATGCATCAAATATTTTCGCTTGCACACGATTGGTTTAAACACGACATGTGACTGAATATCCCCCAGTTAACACTAGGAAATAGCTGAGTGATATTCCCCAATTTTCAAAACTGCGTGTGTTACAAAAAATATTGAAGAATAATAAACACAATAGCCTTCATTTTGGCCCAAAAATATGTATCATGGATATTTGTCCTTGGACATTATCTGTTCCTCAAAGCTCACAGTTTTCTTTGCACTATGCTCTCAAAAAACTGTTTACTTCCCTGAACAGATCAGGTCCGCAGACAGATATCAGAGCACGTCTTTGCGCTGAATGGAGGCTATTGTTTATGTAATTTAGAATGAATGATGGAAATGTGGCTTCTGAAACAAGGCAAAATCTGGCCCCTCCATTTTTTAGTAGTGGTTAACTGTTGTAAAATTATCAAAATTTGGTGGAATATCTAGCATCATTCCTCCTTCTTCAGTGATTGGGTGGAATTAGAGGCATGAGCAACTCATAGAAAAGCTATGCAGTAAGCTGAGATTGATTTGCAGATTTATCTTTTGCCTTAGGTTCTTTTCATGTTAAATCATCAATAAAATCAAATATGAATGTGTTATCATTTATCAGAGCAAAAATCAATCTTTCCTGCAGTTCAGTGGGAAGATCTGGACTAATGATTCACTTCTGGTGTGAACTGGGTACAAACTGAGATGGATAGGGATATATAGACATGCATGGGATGGGAAGTGGTTAGTGGTCCCAGACACAATACCCCTGTCCTCTGAACTTGCTGTGGACTGGTGTTACTTACCCAAACCACAAGGGTCGGGGCCTTGATCTTTGTGCGGGTGTGACCTCGAGGCAAATCAGATGACAGTGCTTCCCTGTAATAGTTTATGGGACCGCTACATCCAGACTGACTCAAAGCATACTTGTACGCCTCCACATCTTCTTTAGTAAAGTTATTTGTTTCCTGAATAACAAGGTTGAAGACATTTCTAATAAAGTAAAACCATAAACTTGACACTTCTGAGCAGAATTTTGAGCTTACAAAACAGAGGTTAAATGGCATATTGCAGGTTAGTTCCATCAGAGACATGACTGAGTGAAAGTTGTCCAAAAGTAGAGGTTCAAGTGCTCAAAAGACAACAACAGGAAAAAAATTCTTGACCTGGTCCTAAAAGAATTAATTTAGTTAATGCTAACGATATTTGCAATGTAAAGCCAAGTGACTGCAGTTAACTAATCTCAGTGGGTCAGCATTACTCCCTTAATCAACCCATTCTTACTTTTATTAGTCCATAGAAGTTATCATTTCATTTCATCACCACCTTGTGGTAATGTTGTTACAAAGATATTCGCCAAGACAATCCTACCCCAAAACTTTTACTTAGTGTTTTGTAGTCACCCATCTCTATAATGAACTCTGGCAGGCAAGGCAATTGAAAGAAAAACATGTACTGCAAAAGAGAGAAAGAAGAAATGGATTAGGCAGTACACAAAAACTGACATTTATGTTAGCACAAAACAAACAAACAAACACCTGAGCGCTTAAATTTACTGCTGCGCAATCAAATTAATTTTTGTAAATCATATAAACTCTACAACAGTCCAATGCATTGGTCCAAAATATCAAGGTGCTATTCACAGCGAAGTTTTAACATGTGTAATGCTATGCATTTCTTTCATACAGCTCTTTCTACTGGTTCTGCCTGAGGGTGGTCATGTTGCTATGAAAGCTTCCATAAACTGTTCAGAGTTCACCTTGGTTGGTTAATAGCACTTGTTGTTAAATTAATGTTAAATTTTTTCCCTCCATTCCTGGGACATATCATTTAGTTTCCAATAAACTTGGATCACTCCTTTTTCATTCAATTAGGTCTAGGCAGCAACTACTCTACGTTTGTTGGTTTTGTTGCCATTGAATATTACTTGCTAACTGATTCTAGCACATGTTTACTTCCCTCAACACATGTGCTACAGAGATGTAACATCTTTTGTGGTCACACAATAATAGGACGTCACACTGCCTAACCTAATGTAAAGCAGTGTTCCCTGATAATGCCAACTGGAACAGCTTGTTAATTAAACAAACACACAGGAGTTGATCATGAAATGGTCTGTTAAGAAACAGGGACATTACCAATAATAAAAACCTGTCTTATTATTCATAATTACCCAGGAAGCAAGGAACTGCTTTTTAGAGGACAGCAAACGCTTTCCAAAGCACCTGATGTAACATAAAATCATTATTGTATTACGTCTATTGTAAATGAACATTTGTACGTAAATGTACAATACAAGGACAGTAATAAAATATGGTAAACCAGACAGAGAGATCTCATGCAGTAGCTTCTTGTTTTAGCATACATATATATTTGTGTAAATTTTAGGCCTTTCTCAGACTTACCAGTACAGAATGAGCATGGCTAGCGAGAATTACATAACAGGTTTTAATAATTCCATAGTCAAAAATTGGGAATAATTTGTGCCAAGGAAACTGAATGAATTAACAAGCCCCTCAAATGTAAAATAAATGATCTTAAAAGGTCCATAGTGCTTACATCCATATTCCTTACAGTACTGAAAAAGTTCAACAATATGCAAGGCATCTCAGTTGAACAGTTTAACCCCAGACCACTGAATACTTGAATTTCCTTGACTAAATTATTTTTAAAGTGAAACTGAGAGTGATTTTAATAGGGTACATCTATGTGTTAGTTATGGGTCTTCAATTTAAGCATGTATGAGAGGTGTTCCCAAGGAAAGTTTATGATAAAAAACAGTTAGTAAAGAAATGTTTTATGCTGAAAGTAACACTACAAAGTGCAATTACTTTGGGTGTGGAATGTTGCATACAATCAGCTTGTCCACTAGCTCTGGATATATGTGGGTAACACTCCTGAAATTAACAAGCAGATTTTAATTAAATAATAGCGTGATGAAAGATATGTTACTGTCTAGAACTGCTTTTCCTTTCATTAATATTTATGGATATTTAAATTAAGATCCAAACTTTTGTCAACAATGATTCAGAAAACGTCACAGTACTACAAAGAGGACTATTTCTATTCACTAAATCCCTTACCATGCAATACCGCCTCCCCAATCATGGGCCAGCAACACACACGACTTGTATCCCAGAGCTGCTACCTGCATCACATACAGTACACAGATTAGATGATCAAGACCTGGCTACCTACTCCATGTCACTAGTTTCCATTTCAAAATGTGTCATTAACACTGTGACAGTCAAGTCATGACACTTGGAGTACAAATTCCAACATACCATTTCTTTGACGTCATTTACCAAGTATGACATCTTGTACTGGTCTCGTCCCTCAGGATGATCACTTTCTCCATATCCCCTATAAAACAGCCATGAACTCTTAATTGCATTCCCAAAGGGTGATTATTTGATGCTCAAAGTACTCTGTTTTTAAAACAACATATTTCTAGTAAGGTGACCATATTATTTTCAAAGTTATTTGCCAAAGGTCTTAATGATAAAAGTCATCCATACTCAGTAAAAGGTTGCACTTTTTTCTGCCATCAATCATTTAAGAAACCTCCAAAGCAAAAGATACACATTTTTATGGGTGCAATAATATTGTGTAAAGTGGCATTCCAAACCATATCCTTTCTCGTTTTGACCCTCCTCTATTACCCAAACACACCCCACGCAACCCCACGTCAGCAAACCATTTTGAAAACCTTCCCTTGAAGGGAGGTATATATGTTATGTATTTGTCGAAATTTTACAAGTAATGCAGAAAACATTATTACCTCATATCCACAGCCACCACCCTGTAGTTATCACTGAAAGCCTTCAACTGATATCGCCAGGAATACCAAAACTACAAAATAATACAGAATAATATGATACTCAAGAAACAATCCAACTTACACACCTCTAATAAGCAGAATAATATCCGAGTGCCTACTATTAATGTAAGACACATTGATAAATGACAAAAACACACCTCAGGGAATCCATGTAGACACAACATCAGTGGCTTGCTTGGATCGCCTTTAGCCACATAATGGATTCGTAAATTAGAAGCTGTTCTTAGGAAGTTGTGTTCTCCAAGCTCAGGGTCGAGAAGGCATGCAGGAGCTGTAGAGTGTAACCCAATAATCAACATTTTAGGCTTATTAAGTCAGACACACACTGTCAAAAATATGTGAAATTTTCAGAACCTCAACTGATTTTCTTGAAATTAAGAGCTCTTAAACCGTGCTTACGGGTTTCTCTTTTCTTAGGCCCCGGCGGAATCCTAAAGTTTCGAATGGTGTGCCATAATAGTCGTAAACAGACTAGTAGACCATAAAATAAAGCAAGACTGTATACAAACAAACTCTGTAGCAGTTGCATCCCCGTACTAATATCGAATAAGCCTCAAACAACAGCTCCGTAGTACAAAGGTGGCCTCTTCCAAATGCAGAGTGTTCAAAGGACGGCCCAAAATTTAATACGTTTGCAAGGTTGCAAGGAAGCCTGGGATCTTAAAATTTAGAATTTGGATCGGACTAACGCGTACGGCAGGAACACAGTGTAGGAAGTTCCACTGACAGGCTCTCAAATTTCGCAAAACCATACCATACACTTCCCAGACCTAGGAATAGGCTGTTCACAGCCTCCCTATTTACACACGCGAAAGAAAAAGCCAGTGCGAAGCATGCGGTCAAGCACCCAGTCAAGTCTTCCGTTTTGCGCTGGCGTCCGGTCCTCTCGCGATCATATCCACGCGTTCAACGATCGAATTTAAAAAATACGAGAAATAGGGGGCTGTGAACAGCCTAACCTAGGAAGTATACATTTGACTTGGGAGAAATAAATTCTACTGGTCGCCGACAATGAGATCATGACGACAAGGCTACTGCGAGTTCACTACAGATTGTTTCTAGGTTTTATTAACACTGCTGCTCTGAAGCGGACCAGTTTACAACACAACTGTACTAGCAATTGGCATTCTACTCACCTGTAAAGCTCTCTAGTATGGTATTAGTCCAGTTCTGGCTCTCTCTCCCCCAACGTTGCGTGACACACACGCACACACACCCAGAGAGAGAGAGCCAGAACTGGACTAGTATGGTAGCGTGTCCCACTCGGCTCGCTGATTTTTTTTTTATTTATTATTTTTCTTTGGCTCTGGACTCAACTTGAGAGCCTCTTCACAGGCTGGTAAGCTACATTCCCCACGCGTTGTAAGTTGCCCTTGCTCATCCTCACTGTAACTACAAAAAGAAAGGGTGGGAAGAGGGTATCTCTGCCGAGCAGGATGGCCACATACTTTAGCAAGAGATTCTCTCATTCATGATGCCAGGTCCTCAAACTCTTTACAGAAAAAAAAAAAAAGAAAGAAAAAACTAAGTTCCTGCAACAGTGTTTCTACGACGCGCAAAGTTAACCTTCACTGAATTCCTAGTGGAAATTTCAATTAAATTGTTTTGTAATCCGTTGCTGTAAAATCTTAGGCACTTACGTTCCTAAAGCCTTCTCTTTTATGCTTCGTGAGAAAAGGCATTTATGGGTTAAGCAATACAAGAAACAAACTGGAACATTTCCTATATAGTTTTGCAACATCGCGCGTTTAGCAAATTAATAGTTTGCGAAACATTCCTTTGATCTAAAAGAAATAAGTTTGAATCGTGCAAAAATGACCCCACATTGTGTAACGTACTCTTTTAATGACGCCATAAAGCACCTTTATATTTCAATGTTTAGCATTGTTTATTGCCAGTCTCAGTAATAATCAGCTGAGCTGTTTGAGTGACAGGTACAGTTTTCCTTTGATCGTTTTTTGTTCTGGTTGCAGCTTTCTCACAATAGCCGCAATCTTTTTTACAGTTTCGTCATTAGATAGTCCTGTTCTTTTACTCTTGAACTTCTGCAGCAGGTCCTTACTCGTCATGGGCTTCCGTGTGAGGTACCTCTTAACGGCTTCCTCGGTGATCCCCTGAGGGCCTTCTTCGCTACCGGTCGGCGTTGGGGTGCTTGTTCTTGAACCACCTCCTGTCCCCCCCGAAGAAGGTGCGGGGGATACACGGGGCTTTTTAGACGCGGGACTTCCATCTTCCACCGTGGTTCCTTTTTTGGCTGAGCTTGCTGGGCGCTTCTTGGTTTTAGCTGATAAAAACAAATAACTGTTCTTTAAAAAAAGAGAGATTGCCATGTGGAATAAAGGGTAAAATGTACTCACAGGTTGTCGCCGTTGGTTTAAGTAGTACAGTGAAACCGGCATGCGAGTTTTTGTTGCTAGACAAGGGTGGCTGGGGAGAGGGTTGGATGTGGGGGGTGTAGAGATGTGGTAAGTAGTTGGTTGCTCCACCCCCTCAATTAACTATGGTTGGTCCTAAACAAGACAGGAATCGATAGACGTGCAGGACGTGAAACATGGTGTAGAATTACGTACAGGGTGTTCCTGGTCGATCTTGACCGAGCTTTTTTGCAGCAGCGGCAATAGTGTTAGCTGCACCGTCCACAGCAGCTGTAGG